CCCCAAAACCCCAAAACCCCAAAACCCCTTCCACTATTACTAAAATTGAAACTCAATCCCTCTCCATCTAACCCTCCAATCCAACTTCCCCAAACCTTCTTCCTAACTTCTCCCGAATGGACCAATCCTTTCCTCTTTTTCCTCCTCTTCTCCAACCTTTCACCTCCACTTCTACACCCACTCCTAGTCTCTGCCAAGAACTTTGCTTCATTAATACGAGATAGTCATCTAGCCGTTGAAAATTGTTGGAAGTGACTCAAGAAGGAAGGATAGGTTGGGAGATAGCTGTGAACAGAGGTAGGTGGAACAGGGAGGAGGAAGGGGTTTAGGAGTGGGAGGAGGGTTGAGGGATGGGTTGGTTGGAGGTAAGGGAGGGTAGGGGAGATATATCTGGAGGATTTTGAATAGATAAAGGTAAATTTGTAATGAGGGATTGGAATGTTCTGTGTTTGTATAAGAGAAGAGAATTAGAGTTAGGGAGAATAAAAGCGAAGATATTATGAACTTACGCTGACTAAAGTGAGCCATTCCAAAAAAAGCAAAGTGATAATGCTTGTTATTGACTTAAAAAGTTCTTCTGGAAGTTATTACAAGATAAATTCTTAGTGGATACCAAACAGAGATTTGATAAAAGAATCAATTTGCGTTCTTGATTCTTTTTAATATACTAAGAAGAAGAGGTGTTAATAACAAAGTGATAGAAAATTTAAATTTTGAATAACTCCAAGCTTTGCTAATTGAGCATTCAGAAATTTACATAAAATTATGATAGTAAAGCTTTGATCTTGCAGGAAAGCCTAAGTTTTCTTCTATTATAAAACAGAAATTTCTTTTTGCCTCCGAGTTGGAGACCTCAATTGCTCTTTGGAAGAGCTAGAAAGGTGCTCCAAAGGTGAAATCCGCCAGTCAGAATCCATCCTCTAAGCACCTTTCTAGCTTTTCCAAAGAGCTAGAAAGATCTCCAACCAGTCAGCAAAGATAATTTTTTGTTTTAAATTAGTAAAAGTTTACAAAAACTAATCGAACTTAAAAGTTTTAGAATTAAACACCATTTAAAGTGCTTTCAGTTTTTCAAGCAATGAAAGAGCTCTGAATGCTTACCTCTTTTCTAATGGCTTAACACTAAATATTAGCAAATTATATGAATGCTTCTGAATATTATTCATGAATTAAGATAATATTTAGGAGAAGAACTTCCAATACTTGTCATTATAACTCAAAAAGCTTTACGTATCTTAACTTAAATATTATTCGTCAAATAGCTCAGAGATAACCTTTTTTGTCTTTCGTAGATCTATTTCATACAAATCGACAACTTGAACTTGGAAAAATAGTCAAGAAATAATTATCGGAATACAAAAAAATTCTCCAAGTCTTGCTTCAAATTTTGGCCCATAAAGTCTAAGAGTTACGACTAAGAGAAGAACTGATTCTTGCACTGAATCTACCAGAGTTGTTTTTATTCAAAATAATTTTCATTTCTGCTCTCTTTTCCAAAGTAAGGTTTTAAACAATAGTGATCTACATATTGTAAGAATCCATTTGAAATTAAATCACTAAATATATGGAACATAGAAGTAATATTATTTCACAGGGAAATTCCAAATAGCTTGTTTTTAATATCTAAGCATCTTCCTTATCTATTTTTCATTTATGCTTCTTATACTAAGCTCTTAACAGAAAGATAGAGTTCCATAATTACTTCAAAAGCTAATAATATTACCAAAAAATATGCAACCAACCCCTTCCAAAACGGGGTTTTGGGGTTTTGGGGTTTTGGGGTTTTGGGG